CCTTTAGGGTATCAATCCTGTGAACAGCAGAACAGGAACCATCTCAGATCCATGGCAACAGATAGGACGCCCTCTTCCAAAACTGATTACTTTTTCTCTTTGGTATAATAGCGCATGAATGGGCCGTCTTGCTAAATTGGAAACTTTTGAACCTTGACCGACGCTTCTATTTGTTACGCGTAAATCGCGGAGAACGCTATCTTGTGTTTATAAGATCTTTGGTAGTAAGTTACCAAAATATTGGTGGCAGTACACTACTTGGATCATCTAAGGTTGTAGTTAAAAGGGGTTTTTTTTCATATCTCTATGTTGTTTATATCTCATTTCAGAAGCATACTAAAACAATTTCATGAATAGCAATTGAAAAAACCTTTACATTGAAACAAAAGATATTAACTGACTATTAACTGATGCAGGCTTTCATCATATTTATCAACTTTGGATTATTTCCCAGTCAATTGTTGGCTGTTACAATTATGGATGGTAGTACCTCATACAATAGAATATTCACATCTATACCAAAGCTATTAACTTACAGAAGCTTTCTTATTTTATCAACTTTGGATTATTCTGTTATATTTTTTACCCTTAGTCTTCTGATGCAGTGATAGATTTTGAGATACCACCTTTGTCTGGCAATGGCAAGACAGGCCCCCTCTACGGACGTCCTTCACTATGCCTAGCCCTGGAGAAGCTGGAAGATTCATATGACCACAAGTATATTCTACAGCAATGCATAGACTGGGGGTTCTACGAAGGGGCAGTGATCGTCAATGAAGCTGATGGCCACTTTCCCCAGGCTCTGCATTATCGACTGCTGGTAATTCAGAGGGAGGGACTGCACATACCGGAAGTGCATGAAGCATGCAATAAATACATAAGGTATGATTGATATAATTTGCATAATATTGTGTATAGTTCTGTTTATTTAATATTTCAATATGTTAAATGTGTTGGCTTTCAAAGGCTGATATTCAGAGATGTACAGGCTCTGTACTATACTACTGTACTGGTAATTCGGGGAGAGGGGCGGGGAGGATTGCACAAACTGGAAATCCATGAGGCATGCATTAAATAGATAAGGTATGAGTGCTCTAATTAGTGTAATTTATTTTATTTATATTTCGATATGTTATGGGTAGGCTTTCAAAGGCTGATTGTTAGATATGTGTGGAGGCTGTCATTGTAAAACAATGATTAATTTAGTTTATATTCAGTAACCATTATTTTTCCATTCTAATTGTTTTTGTAGACTTGTGGCTGAGAAAGCAGACAGTGAGAGTAGCCTCTCCTCTCAAACATGCCTAGTCACCTATAGACATTTACTTTTTGAGGTAAAATATAGAATATAAACAAACATATTAGAAATATCATCAAATACTATTATTATAATCTTTTATTTGTATTAGAATCAGGATCATTAATTAATTTTATTTTTCTCTTGTTTTTAGATTTTTCTTTTCTGGCACAAACAACAACTACCACATGATTCATTAGAGGAGTTGTTGCTTAGCAACATAAACTACCTTGCTCTGCCATTGACACTTATACTATTCAGGTTAGTAACCCATAAAATATTTAATAAATATTTATTAACTTATTTTTATTATACTTTAATTGGGTACTGTTTTTAGATCCGATGAGCTCTAGAAAAACTTGGCTGATTGAATAATAGACCTTTTTTGTCTCTACTGCCCTCATGAGACTGATTGATTAATAGTTGACTGATTAATAGATCTTTTTTAGCTCAAATACCTCTATTATCTTGCCCTCATCGGAGCTTTCGAGATTACGAGAACTTCTTATTATTCTATTTATATTATTATACTATTTATATTAACATTATTTCAACCAATCTTGTATAATATTCTTTTAATATACTGTTATTGGTCATTACATTATACTATAAAGTTATTTATGTATATTGACTAAGGTGGAATGGAGTTGCTTTGTGGTGTGGTGCTTGCCATCCTTTTCCATGTTCAAATCTTAGATTATTTCACCCAGTATCCTGTTTAAGTCAGTCAATTTCAAGATAAATTTGTACAGGGGCTGCAGCCAGAAAAAACTTGAGTGTTGGTTATTTGACAGTCAGGGTTCTGGGCCTACTCAATGAACCTGGTGAATTGTGTAAGACCGTTTTTTAAATGAGAAAAATCTAATATTCACAATAACATGTTTGATCAATTTTTTTCATGGACCTATGGAATGAAATACTAGTAGAAATGTGTTACCATCTGATTTTAAAATAAAAAGTCAGTGTATACTACAAGCTTGTTACATTCATTCTAACAGAAAAATGAAGCAAAAGATAAATTTAGACATCAGTATGATACAGGTTCTCTTCATTTATGATTTTGGTGTTAATAATAATATATTATAAATATATACAATATACTTATACACTGTACTCAAAATGTAGAATAAGTGTTTGTCTTTATTTTACAGAGCTGATCATCAGGAAGATGAACCAGCAAATGGTGATGTAGTGTCATCTGTTTGCTCGTCATTTACCACTGACTTCTGCCTTCAGATCACCAAGACTGTCATCTCAGACATCAGTAAGTTCAAAGGCCCTAATGACTACAGCAGACAGCTCCTCCCAGAAAGTCCAGATCCTCCAATGATGTCAGTCCCAGAAGAGAAGCTCTGGCAGGAGATACTGTACAACCTTGGCAAAGAGGCCGGTGTCAGAGAGTTTATTTATATTCCCGAGAACAAAGCTTCTGCAATGAAGGATTCATTGGATGAAGCTGGTAGAGACACTCAATCGGTTGTCTTCACTTGCGGCCATCATTTCCCCAATGAGCAGGTGTACCGAGAGCAAGCTGTGCCAGAGTTGTCCTTGAAGCTCCAGAGCCTGCCAGTGGCCTTACCTGCTAGTGCCACGATCCTCAGCCAGTACTATCAACAAGAAGGCTACCATCCAATAGCTTGCCCAGACTGTGTCTTTGCTGCCATCAAGCAGATGCAAGCTTCTTTGTAACGTGCAATTACAATTCAAAGTTTTTGAAGCAATTTTTTATGTCGAGGACAAAAATGTATTGAGTTTTATAAGTCGATGTGTTTTGATGCTTTTGTAAATACATTTTTATACTGAATCTGATCATGATGGTACTACATAGATTCTCTTGTTCTGATTGAGAATTTAGCCCGTCTTAATTTTGGTGCTGATTTTGCTCCACCAATAAGAATATTTGTTCCTTTTGTACATAATGCTAGTTTGTACTAATTAATCCTATTGGTGGACAAATTCTTTTTGTAACATTTTGTGGGATAAAATTTATTATTTGAAGCAATGTTTTAAGTGCAATTAATGTTAAGTTCTTTAACGCTGAAATGACATAACATGTGAATTAACGCAAGAGAATTCAAGATGACGACAGAGATTTATTTCAATTAAATAATGACGTGAACATGTTTTCCAGATATAGTTTACTCTTAAAGGATTTATAACTTGAGTATTACACCAACACTATCATTTATCATTGTTAAGCTCTGTCCGGACTATCACATTTTCTTTGAAAAAAAACATGTGACATGCCTAAGTATGGTCATGATGACATCACATCATGACCATATATAGGCACATCATGACCATATATAGGCACATCAAGACTATATATGGGTATATAACAGTTTTTTTTAAAGTCTTGACAGAGCTCTACTTTCAATCAAAACAAAATCAAGTTCACAACCGAATGAGGCTTAGACAGGCATCCTGCAGTAACGCTTATCCATTTGCCTATATATGGATGTTGGTATGACATCATCATGTCCATATAAAGGTAAATTACAGAGATTTGTCACATAAACTTGAGTGTGGACAAAGGTTTAGCTTCGGACATTCACTTTCCTTGAATGAGAATCTGTAGGCAGGCAAAGCAGGTATTGTATTTCAAGCAATTTCGATTTTAAAGTAAATTTTTTTGAATTGTCTTGTTTAGCTTGGTAGCAAAGAATACAAACTGTACTGCAAAGTTTTTCTTAACAGCTATAAAAATTAATTTAAGTTAAATATGATAACTCTTATACAACATTGGAAGTGGTTTGGTGCAATGAAAATGATTTTGTTTTCAATCCTTCGCTGTGCATTTCGCTTGTGTCCTTGGTCTAGTCAGCTGTATCAATGGATACCAGCAGGGAGTAACCTGCAATAGACCAGTGTCCCAACCTGGGGGAGCATCACGCTCACATGCACTACATGCTACTTCAAACTGGGGATACTAGGGATTTACCTATACAACATTGCATGACATATAGACAACTAATGCTAAATCCGATTAGGGGAAAAATAAAACAAAACCTGTTTCTCCTTTGAAGATAGCCATCACACAATGGTGGCTCTACAAATATGCTTGCAGGGAGTCAAACAAGGGGTTGTCTAGGGCCTCAGGTTACAATCCCCAGTCAAGGTCCTAGAGTAGTACCCTTGGTTGTGGTCAAGGGGAGAGATAATTTATGGCTTAGGATATTAGAAATTGTGCTTTTAGACCATAACAGTATGAACTGTAATCATGATAATTTGGTTCGATGGGAAATTTTTTATTTTATCAGCTGACAACAGGGGTCCATGTTTTGACCCATGGGGATTTACCCTTGCTGGTTCAACCTTTGATTTAGGAAATGTTCCCACTGACTTTAAATTCTAAACCTTGATAACCAAAGATTAACATAATTGTAACCTCAACTTCTCTCCTACTTGTAATGAAAAATATTATCACATAAGTGCTCTCTAAGTATGATAGACACATATTTAATATAATTGTCTTTGTAAATTTCATATTAAATTCCATAAGGTAATGAGTTTTAGGATTCTAAATATGCCTCCCCTACCATTATAATAACAATGGTCCACTGCGCAAGTTGAAGGTCAAGGTAGCAAGACTTTGAGCGTGCTGCTCACACGAATCAAGTGTTACCAAAATAGTAATTATAGTTTATAAATGAAACATGTTTAATTGTTTTTATTCATAACTTTATAGAAAATTTTTGAGCTGGTAATAGCTGCTCACACAAATCAAGTGTTATCAAAATAGTAATTCTAGTTAAAAATGAAATGATATTGTTTTATTAATTCATAACTTTATTATAACTTTCCCTGGTGGCAAAATCTAGAAAAACTCAAATAAGTAATTGAATTTTTAAAATGATCTAGTGAGCCATTGTACAATACAGCAGATCGAGGAATGGGTCCACAGAGAGTTTTAATGGCTTAGTATGGCTGAAATTGTGTTTAGACCACAATATTAGAGATTAACAATCAAAATAATATTTGGATGAGCAAAATATCATTTTTGTTTCCTGGCATCCTTTGTATACATATTTTTAAAACACGCTTTGATTGGATTGTAAACACCAAGGACAGCCCACGAAAGTCTAGAAGAAGACTTATTTCCAGTGGGGTCCTTCTGATGGCGATTGGTCAATACACCGGGGACAGACGGTGCGCTATTGTAACTTGTATATCAGCCCTCATGGGAATCAAACCGGGGACCCAGAGATCTCCACGGTTCAGCGCACACAGTGGCTACCACCAGATTAGCTGACTGAGCTAAGCTGCTCTCATGTAAAAAACTTATCTAAAAAAATAGTGCAAGACTAAAATACATACACTGCATAAAGTAAACTCAATTTAAATATCTTTATTGCTTAGTCCATCAAGATATAAAGGCCAATATATAAAGGGGTGTTTACTGTGAGGTAAAAGGAATTTGTAGTTATAGTTATAATCATTTTAGCCATATTAATCTCTCTTATCTAAACAATTTCACACTTGGTTAGAGATTATTTTTTGTTGCCGGGGGATCGAGATCCACTTTAGTCACCCCCTGGGAAGAGGTGATGAAAAATAATATTTAACTTGTATAACAAGTTGAAGATTTAGTTGAAATTTAACATCAACATACATCCATATTGTCTGGGTTTTCTCATTAGCTTTCAGACTATTATCAATTTATTATTGATACTCATATATTACAAAAAATGATTGCTATCGGCCATTGTCATTCTAATAGAAAACTTCATTTATGAATAAACTGGCATTAAGAAACATAGCAATAAACCTTGTAATAATAATTACTGGTAATTATCAATCCACGATTTGTCTTTCAATGGTTCATTCTCAACAAAAGAAATCTATTTTAACAAGAATTTGAGACTTTAATATTCTTGATGATAGTGCAGGCTACTTAGGGGATACAGCATTATGTTGATGTTTGCATTAAATTTTGCTCTAACACTCATGTATGCTACTATATTGATGTAATCTCTTCTGATTGGCTGTTAATGACATCATTTACTAAGCTTTTGATTTCTTCTTGGCATCATTTCTTCTGAGTTGTTTGTTGATAACTTGAGAACAGTTTGTCCACAAATATTGAATCTGTCTGAAAAAGGAAAAAAAATTGACTTTAAAATCACAGATGGCAGTGATTGTTATTAACTGATTTGTTTATGTGGAGGCAGTGATTGTTATTAACTGATTTGTTTATGTGGAAGGTCTTTAAATGAGAGTTGAGTTGCAGCTTGGAGGTTAAGGCGCCTAAAGAGTCAATGATTTATCAGGATGTTTTCTTTTGCGTGACATTATGTCATGCTCTGTGTAAATAGGCTTTTAGATGACCATAACTGTAAGATCTGCAAAGTAATGCATTTAATCAGATGACTTTGATTAACATCCGGCGACTGGGAGTTCTATGCTTGTCCAATGGAGGAGAGATTTTCTCCCTGATGCCACTGTTGCAAGTGGAGGGGGAGAGGGAATTGAAAAAAGAAAACTTGGTCATTTTTAGTATTTTATTGGAACTAACTTGCTACCATTGGTGAGGTGGGGGTGGGATCACCACTACACCCCAGCTTATACTCGTTTACTTAATGATGCAATAAAAGCACATAATCATTCTTACCTGTAACAAGTGAACAAACGCATCACGGAATTGGTCTTTTGTGAGAGCGGTGACCTGCTGGTTTATATCTGAATCTAGTCCAACTTTACTCTTTGCCTTCAAAGGTTGTTGCCTAACATCCTGGTGAGTGCGACTCAATTGGCTGCTTGACGATAAAGTAATCTTGTCTGCTTGGGTCATCAATGGGAAAGAGGAGGCTAGCGGTGTAGTAAATGTCGATGGTAAGGAGCTTGATACCGTAGTTTTGGTTGACAGATTCATGTGCGAGCACTGGCTTGGTAGGCCTGTAGTGGGCTTTGATGCTGGGTTAGTGTCACTGGAAGTTCTTGGGCGGAAGGCACTTGGTGCAAGGAGAAGAGGGGCTGAGTTGGCAGATTTCTGTTCAAACAAAAACATCCAATTCTATGTCAAACAAAGTTAAATTGTTTCAGATACAATATGGGGCTTGCCATGCCAAAACCAGCATTAGTGACCAATTAATATATTCATATCCTCCACATTTAGAAATGGCAGGTCATTTACTGCAACTGACTTTACTATTGCCAAAGATGAGTAAAAGTATCACAGCTTCTCTGTCCTAAAGTATGCAATATTTCCATTCTTATGCTAATTAAGTTGGTTTTTGGAGTGGCAAGCCTCATGATACAAATGATTAATATCAATTAACTTAACAATGAGGGTTCATGAAGGAGTCCAGGCAGGCACAGGACCTCCTTTTGAGGAACCATCCAACAGTTTTGTTGAGAAAATTAATTTGAAAATACATTTTTACAGCCTGAGAGTACCATTTCCGGGGCATTTAGAGGTGCCTATTCTTAAAATTTGCTACAACCTTTGTGGGGCTGGAGTTAGGTGTAGACCACCTGATGACCTTGGACTATAGTTGACACAATGTACATGTGGAATTTTTATCCTCATTATAACCATATCATAAATAACATCTATATTCTAGATAAGCTATATTAAAATATATATTATTAAATCAATAATTTTAATATGTGTTATTAAATCAATATTAATATATTGTTACTTTGTATATTAGCATTTACTCGCATCTGTACAGTGAACTCACTCATCTAAGTAAAAGCCTGAGGCAATGTTTACCATAAGAGTGAAATATTTACCTCCTTTTCTAAAGTAAATTTATTTTCTAAAATTCAGTGTCATCTTTTTATTAGCTAATAAACTAGAATATGAATTACTTATTAGTATTATTACCACACAAAAGGGGACAGTCTGTAAAAGAATTATCACACATCCTTGTACAATCTTCCCATTCCTTCAACTATTTCCAGGCTACATTGCAGTGCAAAATCGATTATGTAATTAAAGTGTCACTTAAAAGCTGTCATATTAGCATTGAAATGTGTCTGCTGCAATTATCTAATCAAAAATGAATACCTCAGTATGTTTACATTTTCATAGGATACCTGTAGGCTCATAATCGATGTTAAGTTTGTCATTCAGTATTCAGCATCCTTTATTGTCATTTGTAAAATTAATTTTACATAGAAATACAATAGAAAGGGTCTGCTTATAAATAAACAGAAAAAATAACTAGGTAATAACAATCCTACGCACACATCTAAATAAAGATACCCTAGTGTATAATAACCTAATAACTTATAATAACCTATAATGGTGGTTGGTACATGAATACCACTTTTCATTGCTCTTGCCTTATCTCTAAATACTTTAAACCTCCTTTGCGGTCCAATCATGTACACATTTTTTTATGTATTTTTATAACATGCATGTAGCCCTCCTCAGCATGCTTTTTGTAGCAGCGGTTTGGTGCACCGGTTGCAGTTCTGCTTCTCAGCCTTGAGGTCAGAGATTCAATCCCTCGTGTATTTCGCTTGTGTCCTTAGACAAGGCACTTTACCTATGGATGTCTCTCTCCACCCAGGAGTACAAGTGGGTGCCTGGTAGGCTCAAACACAAAATGCACTGATTATTGCTGCAACATTATGGAATTCTCCCCAGGGGCCTGAGTATGTGTTCTATATGTGCTTGATTCAATGACTGGGGGTAATAATGTTAAGCGCACAGAGGTCTCTACAATATGCGCTCTATAAGTCAACCATTATTATTACTATATGTGCATTCTCTATTTTTTCTTTGGTTTGGCGGATAAAGTAATTGTATGATGACAAGTAAATGCCAATGTCACTGCTGCTAAATATTACGTACTGCTGTGAATACTGGTGATTTCTTAATACCTTGATTGAGGTATGATTAGACAGCATATTAACTCACCGTTGTGTCTATGTTTGCCTGCTGCTGGAGACCTAGAAGCAGTGCGTTTCCAGCGCCAACATTTGTGGCAGCCATCTGACCTGGGCTTGGTACTGAGGCTGTTTTTGGTTGCTGGTTGGTCACAGATGCTTTTAAACTGGCTAAAAGAGCTTGGTTGATATCTACTTCTCCACTCCCTGACAAGATGTCTTCATTAAAAGATTTAAAAGCATTATCACTCTCCCTTGTTTTAGGAAACGACACGGACGGGGATAATGTTTTAACAGGATTCCCATGTGATTCAGAATGCGGAACAGAGGTTATGTTAAGTTTGGCGAAAAAGTCTTGTAGTGGGGCGGGCGTCTTTCCTTCAGGTTCTTTCTCGCCCCCACCTTCGATGCTCTGAACAGTAAGTGGTCTTAAATGACCACCTCCGCTTTCCTGTTCACCATGAAGCTTCTCAATACTTTCTACCGTGTGTATATTGTTCACAGGCAGTGGCATAGCACCCTCGCCAGGATGTGACAGAAGTTTTTGTAAGACAGGGTGAATAGTTTGATTTACTTTAGGTCCTTGTGTATTGTGCTGTACCGATAATGACCGATTCACCATCGGCCTTAATGTACTTGATTCAGACCCTACTTGACGTGGGCTCTCTGCTTTTATAGGAACAGGCCTCACTGGACTTGATCGGACTTCCGTTATGCCTTCTTCAACTGACCGGTGTGGAACTTGTTCTGATCCTTGTGACTAGAAAAACAATAATAATTTGATACACATAATAAAGGTTTACTATCATCTCATCTATCTTTTTTCTTATTCAAACATATTCTTAGTGTTTGCTACTGTATGTACTTTTTTCTTAACAAAACAATATAATAAAGGTCTCCTTCAAATTAAAGACCACTTTTGGGACCGACAGTTCCATAGTATTTAGCAGCTTTGGTCTCTAATTAGAATAATAAAGACAAAAGACATTTTACTAATATGGGACCACAGAAAACTGGTCTTTAATTGGAGGTGGTCTTTAATTTGAGGGGATTCTAATTTGACAGAGACCTGTATAAAATAAGAAATCATTACCTCAAGATATACATTCTGAGCCCTATTCAACATCTGCATTATATCGACCGGTCTCTGTGCTGACCACCCGCCATCGCTCTCCGACATGCTGCGTTGTCGGACTTTCTTCTCAGCAACTAATTTTGCTTTATCGGTCAAACTGTAATTCAAATTAAACTTAATTATCAAAGGTTTAAGATGAACTTGTTGCAGACATGTAGCTAAGAGACCAAGACCTCCGCTGGCTTGGTCATAAATTATAAGAGGCTTAACACTTTTAGTCTCCTATCAGGGCTTTACCTCTGGATTTCACCGGCCTCCACCGGATATTGTCATACTACTGTTGGACAGTTTAGAATGCCTAGAGCCACCACTGCATATCAGATGTACCATATGGACAAAGGTGGACAAATGGATATATAATCACATTACGGGATTACCCATGCTTGTTACAGATTGCATAATGTATACCATGCTTATTTCAATGCCCATACTAGGTGATCAACTGTTTAAGCTGGCCTAAACCCATTAGACCTTTCATTTAATATTAATAAATTTACCTTTGCATTAATTTTGAAACGGTCTGACAGTCTTCTGGCTTGTAAAACCACATACCATAAATTGCTTTGAATAAAACAGTACAAAATTAAAAATTATTAGCATGCATTTACATGACCATAAATAAGAAATATCATACTTAGATTTTGTTTATAGTCGTATCTGATATATTGGCATACAGTAGCTTTGCTTCCAATGTGATATCATAACATATTGTACATGGCCTCCAAGATCACTCACACATTATTCAAATTCTACTTGGAATCTTCCACTCTCACAGAGGGATACTGGAAATGAATGTATCTAGTGTAGATGAAATCTGATACAGTGCAATAAATTAAAACACAAACATGGTCATATGCACATGCATGTTATAAAGGAATCGCTATAAACCTCAAAGCAATCCGAAAATCAATCCAAGTTATCACATTAGTTCGCCTCAGCGCACATCACATTCTATAATTTGAACATGTTAGGATGCTAAAACAATTAAGTTATAGCAATATCCTATTTCTATGTCCCGTATTTGTTAATAATTGATGCATGTAAAAGTGCAATCCCTACAAGTTGTAGACAAATGCACTGCTTTGATATTAAGTAATTCTAATGAGACATTCACAATTGCATCATAGAGTACAAACAGCGCATAATAATCTTGCTGGGATAAAGACAAAGCAACCATGATTTGTGTAATATTAACTTAGACAACTAGAATGACGAAGCATTTCAGAACTGGTAGTTTGTGTGGATCAAATTTTTTTTAAAGTAACAGTGGTATTTGTAGCACCCATTTACCATTAGAATTACAAAAGCAAGTAAGAACAAAGGAAGTTTTGTATAGCTACCAATAACCACAAATTATTACGACGCAACAATTGCTGTGTAGCATCATTTAACATAGTATTACTTAAAACAGATTAAATTTTTGTAGCATTGCCCATTTATCATTACAATTACAATAAAGCAACATCAGTTTGTGTGGCAATCAATATCATTTAAAAAATAATAAAACAACAATATCTGTAATTTAACCATTTCACCACTAAAATTATTCTGAAGCAACAATTGTTTTTGTATTTCTTGAAGGTTTGCATGGCGAGTATCAATAAACATATAACAAATTTTTTGGTACACCATGTGTAAATAAAAGAATATGGTTTTTATTAAGAGACAACCAACCAGTGGTTTTTACCTTAATAAAAACCATATTCTTTTATTTACACATGGTGTACCGAAAAATTTGTTATATGTTTAATTGTTTTTGTAACATCATTTATCATTAATTCACAATTGCATCATAGAGTACAAACAGCGCATAATAATCTTGCTGGGATAAAGACAAAGCAACCATGATTTGTGTAATATTAACTTAGACAACTAGAATGACGAAGCATTTCAGAACTGGTAGTTTGTGTGGATCAAATTTTTTTTAAAGTAACAGTGGTATTTGTAGCACCCATTTACCATTAGAATTACAAAAGCAAGTAAGAACAAAGGAAGTTTTGTATAGCTACCAATAACCACAAATTATTACGAAGCAACAATTGCTGTGTAGCATCATTTAACATAGTATTACTTAAAACAGATTAAATTTTTGTAGCATTGCCCATTTATCATTACAATTACAATAAAGCAACATCAGTTTGTGTGGCAATCAATATCATTAAAAAAATAATAAAACAACAATATCTGTAATTTAACCATTTCACCACTAAAATTATTCTGAAGCAACAATTGTTTTTGTATTTCTTGAAGGTTTACATGGCGAGTATCAATAAACATATAACAAATTTTTTGGTACACCATGTGTAAATAAAAGAATATGGTTTTTATTAAGAGACAACCAACCAGTGGTTTTTACCTTAATAAAAACCATATTCTTTTATTTACACATGGTGTACCGAAAAATTTGTTATATGTTTAATTGTTTTTGTAACATCATTTATCATTATCAACTATTATTATTATTGTAATAAACCAATAGATGTTTTTGTTGCACCATTTATCATTATTATGTTAAATACAGTCATCTATCATTGAAAACTACAATGTGTAGTACCAGTTTTCTTAAAATTATACCACAACATTGGTTTGTGTACCACGATATATAGTTAGTTTAAAAGGGACAGTAGTTTTTGCATAATGTTCAATTATAACTAACAGTGGTTCGTGTTGTAATAATTTGTGTAGCAACATTTACCTTTAGCTGTACGATAAAGTAAGAATGGTTTATGTAACTGAAATTCTAACTCCTTGTTGACTGGTTCTGTCCAATTCTCCATACTTAACCGATTCATGATCATGAATCCATGATAGGGGATTGCTGATCTGTAAAAAAAAACACACAAGTGAGTTACAAAATCATGATACTATTATATAGAGAATCTTTAAAATGTCAGTGGTAATTCTTCACATAAGGAGTGAAAATCAATTTCCTCTAATCAGGTTCTAATCCCCAACGAAGATAACTTGGTCAGGCATCCACATATACAGCAAGAAGCTTGGGCTCGAATCTCTGCTGGGGCGATTTTTTAAAAATTCTTGCAGTGCTTTAATTATTACAATTTCTATACATTTATAGAGCATTACTATGACGGTTTAGAGGTATATTTACATGTATATGTGTTGGGGAAGGGGTGTGACTGGAGAAAAAAAATCATTTATCAGATCAAATTACAGTACAGGTATTATTATAATACTACCTAACAAAGTAAGAAAGCATACAGTACAAGTTGTTAATTAATATATATGCCTCAGGCTTGAAAAATGTTACTACCTCGCAACTAAATCATTCTCTAATAATAGTAATATCAAATTCCATTCCCGTGATACACAACTATGGTCTCATTATTACAACACGTTGTTTGTTCTAGGCTAGCCTTGCATATCCAGACTTTATAGACAGTTTTAAAAGTGAAAGAGACTAATTAGACAGAGTAACATTCCAGGAATTTCTTATGGAAAATTCCTTGAATTCTGAAACAACAGGGGTAAAAAAACAATTATGTGATAAGGCCAAACTGCCCATGTCTTTGTTCTACATAGTGAAGGAACTCCAAGTAAGTAAAAGATGTAGAAGCATAGGTGAGATTGTATACAGGGGGTTAGACGTACTAGAACTTTGGCCTCTATCACTTACGGGATGATTCAGTTGCTATCCACGTGCCGTTGATGACTTGCTTGTTGTTTTTGCAAATAAAGCACAGGCAGGACCATATTTTCACGCATAATCACATGAATGAGGCCCACTGAGCATGCTCAGAGTACCACCCACTACATGATTGACACTTTCATCTGTGGCTGTGTGAGTATGCCAGTAGTTTCTTATTTTATAGATGAAGATGATATGGAATTATTATTCCCTGTACAATTTACTCTAGGTGTTTTTTCTAGGTAACCTAATTTTTTCCTACGATTTATTCTACTGTTACTTTATATGGGATCACATTCTGCTCTCTTCAAGACAGGAGTAAAATTCTTCAGGCATCTTGGATTTAATTTTGAGTTTTTTCATCTCTGTATAAAAAGGTACGTCTTACAGTACAAACTACTTTATCAGTTTATTAACACTTTATAGCTTATTAACAGTTAATTATTATTCATAAACTAATAAATGATGAAGCAGGGAGAGTATGTTGAATACTATTATACTATAGGACAAGTTAAAAAAAAAGAGTTTCCAATTTGAACTTTTTGATAGAGAAAGAAGTCTTTGTTTTTATGGTTGTCAGCATTTTGTGTCTACTGTATGTTGTCAACCCAGTACAGTATTTGTAACAGAATCTGATCTACACAGGCCAAAGTAGAGAATAAATATAAAATTTAAGACAAATGCCTAAATCTTTGGAACCTTTCCTTATAATTTAACCAGTTATAATCACACAACAACACAAATTATTTTTTTAATGTATATTGATACTGTAGCTATTATTAAGAGAAAAAAAAAGCATTAAATTGCGGTTTCCATTGTCAAGTACCACAAATAATTAATACCACCATGATAGCCTCAATTTATAATTAAAAATTAGTTACAAGACATGATTTAAGTATTAGGAGATATATTTTAGACTGGAAAGGATTTATTAAGTGGGGTCCTTCTGGTGGTGATTTGGGCAGTCAATCCCCTACATTTCCGAAGAGTGTACTGCGTTCTTTAACGTGCCCATGGGCCATAATGCACATGGGATCAAAGGCTTAAACGTCTCATCCAAAAGACGGTGCACTATCGTAACTTGTATTTCAGCCATCTAGCTGAAATACAAGGAGAGCTGCGATGGGAATTGAACCGGGGAACAAGAGATCTCCACAGTTCAGCGCACACACTGTGGCTACTACTACCAGTTTAGCCAACTGAGCTAAGCAGCACATCAGGACATTAATTCATTAATCAATTAATTATAATCATGAATATATATTGATGGTATTACCTGTATCTCAAATTTTATCACAAACAATGAATGATATCAAATTCAGTTATCAACACAATGACGACATTCCCACTTCAAATTTGAGTTATGATTAACATACCAATAATGTTAAAATCATTACAAATAGTGATAATATCATTAATACAACTTTTTAGCTATCACAAAATGCATTCAAGAACATAGTGAATAGTACTGTAGAACAAGGAGATTTGGCAAATAATGAATTTAACTGAAAATAACAATACTGTACACCACATACTGTACATTGCTGATCTATGACAGCCTTGCCAGATTTACACTTAAGGAGCCTGATGCAATTGTAAGGATATGTGCACAGAAACAATAAATATTGACTCCAGACAAACTTAAAACTTAATTTGTATTGAGTACAGTATTGTATGATAAAAAAAACTACTGTATGTATGCTTTGAAATTCAGATAGAAAATTGCATAATTACTTTGAACATTAAAATTTAATGCTATTACATTACAGTAGTTTAACTTTAAAATATTGTTTTCGAATGAGAAATTAATAAATTCAAACAAAGGCTTTGAGTCAGTGGCATATCCTGGAGTCTTGACATGGGGGAGGGGGGCTGATGGGGGTGCGAAGGTCACGGTAGACTCAATGTTGAGCGTGATTTTTTTGGGTAGGGAAATACTGGGGGACAAGTATTTTGGGGGAATGGCCCCTCCCCCATGCACACTTAGATACACCATTGCTGTGAGTTTGTCCTCAAATTAAATTTTACCATGAAAAATTTATATTTATTTAATTACGTACAAAAGATGAAATTTACAGGTAATTAGGACTGTGTATTTAAGTACTGTGGTAAAATATTTGTCTTGTTTCGTATTTCAGGTTTTATTATCATATATTTTTTAGGTAGAGGAGTTGGAAGAATGCATACAGTACATTTGATGGAAGTAATTCCTCATTACTTTTTATTCATTACTGGCACTTCCTGTAACACAAATTATTATTTACTATATTTTTTTTATAAAAGAAGCCTAATAATATAATATAATAATAGAGAAAATATGATACAGTAAACCTGTTTTTTTTTTTATAGTCAGTTTTTGGTTTTGGTAGTGTTAATATTGGTTTAGTTCTGGTATCATAGTAATTATTTCTAAAGTGAAATTTGTTTGATAGATATTGAGGTGCAAGGTTGTTCATAATTTTAAACATGATAATAGTCTCATTTATATACAATCATTGTTCCAAATTCATCCATTTAAGGCTTTGAAGAGCTTGTGTACTGGAGTCACTTCTTGATTTGTTTGTAATAATTTTTGCTGCCCGGTTTTGAAGAATTTGAAGCGTTTTACTTTGAATTTGATTTGAGCGTCCCCATACGACATGACAATATTCGAGGTGTGGAGCCATTAGGGATTTGTACAGTTTGCATTGAACATCTTTTGAAAGAATTTGGCTAGTCTAGAAAGAAAACTTACAACAGTCTTTATTACGAAGCTCAAATATTAAAGCAGCCATGTTCTTTTATTTGTTAATTAACAATTTCTGTTGCGAATACCACGCAATTATTGACGGACATAATAAATTCAAGCATTTTTTTATGTTGGTGTTTTGATTATACATTCGCTTTCAACGTGAAAAGAGAAGTTATACCTTAGAAAATGAGCCTGTAGATCGCAATGTAAAATATTATCATCATTATATTATTAGTAAAATTACTATAACGCATAATAAATTAGTAATGCAATTGTTTTGTTGGACATTTGATACCAGATTAATCATACACAACGTGCAGCCGTCTCCATACCCCGGGGAGTATTACGCTCGTTCAGCTCGCTCAGAACTACAGCACGATTGTAACATATATTGAAATAAATACACTTTGTATTTTTTATCGATGATGTTATTATTCATGTACAATGAATTCATCAACATGTTAAACATAAATTGTTATCAGAAACACATGCTACTCATTAATCAATATAATTAATGTTACGGGAACACGAATTATTCATTGAAAACCCTTAATGATCACACAAGAAATTAATTTACTCTGCATTCAGTCCTGAACTTCAACATGTTGTGTCAACACAAGTAAATTATTGAGAATTCAATAATGTAAATACTTATAAAAATGAATCATCACGTACAATAGGGTAACTAACAATCGAGGCAACACAAGAATGAATGCATCGGTGTTCATTAGATCTTTATATGGTCAAGTAAAGAAAAATGTAAATCTTGCCTAGGCCTAGAGATGTAACTATGTGTGATTTTCTTTCTCTGTATAATGCTTGAGTTTAATGTGGAGTTGAATAGCATGGTGGTTAAGATGCTTGCCTATCAGTATCAATTCCAGCATCCTGATTTTTTTTTTCTAATGAGTCCATTCCCTAAGCCATAAGTAAGACTAGTCTATGTACTGTAGAATATCTTGTCTGTGTTGTTATTTGAAAGTAATAGAAAAGAAAGGATTTGAAAGAGTTAGAAATGTGACTGATTTCACTGTTTGGCATATCTTTGGCCCTTGTGCATAAAGGTAAATTTAAAACTAAAGAATGAATGAATGAATGAATGGACAATGAATGAATGAATGGATCAACAGATGAGTTAGTGAATGAATAATTGAATGAAGGAATGTATGTATGAATGTCTGTATGAATGAATGAATGAATGAATAGCAACAATGCCTTTTAATTTCAGTGACTGTTAATGATGAGCAACGCATTCAATGATGATAATAATTGATAACTTGATATATGTCATTTAATTTGACAAATGCTACCCTGTGTGCTCTATGATGTCTCAATAGGGGTAGCCAGATTACAGAAAACCCCCCTAAGTTTATTATAAATGTGTGACTCAGCCCTCCTGTGTTTATCATAGTCCTGGGTATTCCGAGTGATATTGCACCTGGGAATTTGACAAGGCCTACCTCACCAGCTCAAGCAGCCTGCCACCAATCCCCTATGATATCGACAACAGCTGACTACACACTGCTGATGATTAATTGGGTACACGGCTATAATAGTTGCATGTGCTGGGGGGATGTTTCACTAACAATCTGAATACGATGTTGAATTAATTGCAATATTGTGAGGACAGCATGGGAGCAGTACATAATCATTTAATCAATCCAGTTTGCATATCATGTATCATGCGTATCAATGAAGCATTTTGAGAAAGTAATCACCACTGCTACTACCATCACTGTAGTAATAATTAATAGATTTCTTATTTAAATGTACTTACTGTGCTAACTCATGTATGTAAAGTACATTATCAAGTATAAGGCCACAATTCAGGTACAAGCCTATCCTTCAGGTAAAAGCCTAATAATAATAATAATAATAATAATAATAATAATAATAATAATAATAATAACAATGATAATAATAATAATAATAATAATAATAATAATAATAATAATAATAATAATAATAATAATAATAATAAAATCTTGTAATACAAAAATATTCTGGAATACATCCAATTCCAAGCACAACTGCATCATTCATGTATAAACCCACCATATACTAGTCAGGTAATAAACCCATAATTCAGATATAAGCCCATTAATCAGTTGCAAGCCCCTAACACCCAGGTAAAAACACAACCACCACAAGCTTAATTTCAATTACTTTGAATTTGAGCACTACTTAGGTATAAGCCCACATCTATACAAAATCCCATATTATTCCTATACCAGACGTTCGGGAGACTGGATGGGTGATGGTAAAAAAAAGTGCGCCCTCACCTTTCAAAATGTTATTTTTATGGATGTACTATGATCTTTCAAGGTGCCAGCGATACAAGGGAAGCCTTTGGACACTGACATCATCGATGTAGTCGGTGCACAAAGGAAAAATTGACACAAAAATACTCAATTATTACTCAAAAAGCCACTAATTTGCCAATTTTGGTATTTTGGGCTTCTTTTCTGAAAATTCGGGAGAATATAACAAAACCCGTGAGATTGCATAGATATTCGGGAGAATCTTGATTGAATCTGGAGACTCCCGATTGAATCAGAAGGGTTGAGACGTGTGCTATACATAAATCCCAAAATATACAAAGCCTACCTTGAGTACACAAATAGTGTTCCTTCTATTTCTGTCTTTTCCTATAAAAAAAAAACAAAACCAAAAAGAAATTAAATTATTGAAATATAATTATATACCATGATCTTTTTTATCCAAACAAATAAAAGAAACACATATAAATCAATAAAAACAAACTGAATGCAGAATTCAGGTAGCTTTATTTAATCACATGAGTTTAGTTTTTTAATGAGTATATTTTGATGTGTAATTTGTAATTTGTTCCCAATAATCAATCCGTTCAATTTGTGATAACAATTAAAAACTGTTTGCAAGAAAAAGCAATATTAAAATTCCAGTAGTAAACTGTACTATATAAGATACTTTTTAATTTTTCATTTACTCGACCACTGGAAGGCAAATTTGGATCACAGATAGCATAGAGTACTGTATCTCAGTAATTTAATTACAAATTATTCACATTCTCAAGTACTGTTTTAGATGAAGCATGACATGCCATTGGCGGATCCAGAGATGTCCGAAAGCCTGGGGCATTTTCCCGCGAAATTTTTGTCTTCTAAACACCCGAAAATAACCTCTGATGCGTTTTGGGCGATCATTCATTTCTTTTTTTTTTCTTTTCTTATTTTTTTTAACTTTCCAAAAAGGGGGGGGGGGGGCACAGATGGCCCGGTCCCCTCTAAATCCGTCCCTGCATACCCAAAGATACAGGCCATGTGGTCAGCCTCGTGGCTATTCGGTATTAACAAAATATTTAAAAGTGACAAGGTTTATAAATAACAACTTCTTTGTATTATTATAATAACAAGATAAATAATAAACCAATATACTAGTACACTTGTCAACAAGTATCACAGGTTTTTAATTTCTTTACCATGCCACAGTAGAGATATCATTAGGCCTTAATAACTTTTGTTCATATTGACTAATTGATTAACTGATCTTTTTTATGCAGTGCATTACTTTAGATCATTTTTTACAGTACATTACTGTATATGGATAGTTTAATGTTTGATTAAACCAGGTTGGGCTCCATTTTGGCCAGGTGTGATTGGCCAAGTTAGGAAGCAGATTTTCCAGCCTTTCCCTGTGGAATAACAGCTGTGTACTAGCCTAAGGCCTAGCTAGGCATAATTTCCCACATTTTCTAACCTATAGCATTGCCGTAAGACTAGTCGCTAAATAGGCCTAGGTCCTTAGGCCTACTAGCTGGGCACTGTTTATCTATGTCTGTCTTTAATTAGGTCTCGCTAGGCCTAGGCTTAGATTAGTCAGCCAGTGAAAAGTAAGCCGAGATCCAGCCAGATCTTATCTTACATTGGTCTAGCCTAGCCTTCCTTATGACTCACCCATTCTGTAGTGAATTTATAAAGTGCAACTTGGCTGGCAGTCGCAAGAATTGTTGTTATATTTGGGTCACATTGTTGCAATGCAGCTAGATTTATCTTTTCTTCCATTTCTTCTTTCACCCGCAAATTTTCATCGATGGGCATGGAGGCAGCCATCATGCATCCTTTATCGTCAAATGCAAAAATATGATTACGCCCTCTAGAGCTACAACACTTTATAAAAGAAAAAAAGGAGATGGTACCACGGCAATTTCCTCAGCCTCCTCCTCATCCAAAATGTTTGGTTCTATGGGCAGGCCTAATTACTTAATAAAAAAAAGTAGCATATTCGTTTTCCAGTGAGCGTGAAGGTTAATGTTGACTTTTGCTTTTGAATCTGAATATTGTTACATGATCCTCTTCTGTTTTATCATAGATTTACTGAGGTGTTATGTTTAAAACATAAAGCTATACTAAACAAGGTTTAAAGGAGTCTTTTCTTTAACATCATAATGTGTATTATATTTCAATTCATCCTGAATTGCATAGGAGGCCATACAAATATGTCGTTATTGAATGTTTTGGTTACTCGTGCATCTCATACAAGGCTAATGCACACAAGTGCTTCTTTTAGTGATTTACTGTAGTCAGGAATCGCTATTTGTTTTCCGATAAGATACTACATAGGCCTATGCCTAATTATTAAACGTTTTATACCGATAACGAAATTATGTATAATATGCCCTTTTTCACTATAAAGCGATAAAAACGAATGAACAAAACAAAAGGTAGGATTGGATAGGATTAATGTGGTATAGAAAAGGGGGGGGGGGAGGTGGTGTCACGTAGGATTTTGACTTTTTGTAGCAACTATGATTTTATTGCTCTTTATTTATATTTGTCGCTTACGTTTAAGTTCTATGTATCCTTGTATTACTGTTGTAATATTTTAATTCGGAAAAAATTGGTACGAGGATATTTTTGCAGACATTATTAGCATTTAGTGCCATGTCTGACTGACGTAATACTAACCACCGTCCGCGTAATTCTTACGTCAAACCATTGCTAATTATTATCACATGACAAAAGCACACCGTATCCTAGTATGAAGCAATCGATATTGAATGCGAGAAAATGAAATGCGGTAAAATTAAATCTTAACAACATCAGTCAATTCACAGATTTAACCTTGACCTTGACCTACGCCTGTCGCTCTAACATCCAATTCACAACTTTCTTCCATGCTGTTCTGTCCTGTGCATAGTTACCACTGTCTC